GTCGTCGTCGTGTCGAACGCGATGGTCGACACGACCGTCGTCATGTCGAACACGATGTTCGTCGTGTTAAACACTATCGTTGTCGTGTTCGACACGCTGGTCGTCGTGTCAAACACGATGGTCGTCGTGTTGAACACGATCGTTGTCGTGTCGAACACACTGGTCGTCGTGTCAAACACGATCGTCGTACACGATAGTCATCGTGTTGAACACGATCGTTGTCGTGTCCGACACGTTGGTCGTTGTGTTGAACACGATCGTTGTCGTGTCGAGCACACTGGGCGTCGTGTCAAACCCGATCCTCGTCGTGTCCGACACGGTCATCGTCGTGTCGAACACGATCCTTGTCGTGTCGAACACGCTGGTTGTCGTGTCAAACACGATTGTCGTCGGGTCGAACACGATCGCCATCGTGTCGAACACGGCCGTCGTCGTGTCGAACACGCTCGTTGTCGTGTCCGGATCGTTGTCGTGCACGGTCGTCGTCGTGACCGACGTCATGTCGAACACAGCCATCGTCATGTCGAACACGACCACCATCGTATCGAGCACGGCCGTCTTCGTGTTCGACATGATTGTTGACGATGGTCGTCGTGTCCGGCACGATGGTCGTCGGGTCGGACACGGTGGCCGTCATGACGAGCACGGTGGTCGTCATGTCCGCCACGGTTAAACGCGGTTTATGTCGTGTCGAACGCCATCACGATCGTGTCGAACACCCTGCTCTTTTTCGCCACGACCCCCACCTGTGTTTCGACTTGCACAGAGTTTAGTGCGAGTTGCGCCAGCAGAACATAGTGCCCGGGTGACTGTCTTTTGTCTCTTGTAGCGCTGACTGCTTGTTGCGAGATTGCGCCACGACCCCCACCTTGTAATATGCAATGGACCTCCTGTCGTGTTGGGCGCGACATTGGCGTTGCCGCAGTCGTTTGCCTTCTCAGCCTGGCTATCTGAAAACCCGTCGTGCGACGTAGAACGAACTCTGCGCGAATTTTGCTTCGAATCCTCGGAGTCTGGTACCCGGGAATCAAGACGGGGGACCCTTCCGTGTTGGGCGAGGCGGTCGCGTTGCCACGATGGTTTTCCTGCTCAGTCGTGGCAGTTTTCCTGCCCACTCTGCGTGGGTGGTGAGTACCACGCGTGCCGGGAATCAAGACGGGGGACCCTTCCGTGTTGGGTGAGGCGGTCGCTTTGCCACGATGGTACAGTCTCGTTGCCACGATGGTATTCCTGCTCACTCGTGGCAGTTTTTCTGCCCGCTCTGCATTGGTGGTGGTTACCACGCGTGTCCAGTCGCTGTAGTTCCTGGAGTAATATAAAATTTTTCCTATCAATGCCTTTGTGCCAAGTTGTGTCCTGCGCGCCAGAGTCTTCGCCGTTCCGCTGTTGGTGCCCACTGGGTTTTGCGCGCCGTGGTCTCCGCCTTTCTGAAGCTGGTGCCCGACGTGACATGTGCTGCGTTTCCTGTTGCGCATCAAGATCTCCGCCTTTTCAATGCTGTTGCACGTTGTATTTTCGGTTGCTGGTTCCCCGACTCGACATGTGATACGCTTCCCATTATCGTTTGATCTTCGACTTCGACAGACTCTTTTGCGTGTATTTCGCCTTTGGCACGGATTGGGCCTGATGACAGGATTGCTGCCCAAATTCCACGGTTGTGTGTTATCCTCTCTGGGATGTTTCCTGTTCCCCTCCGTCCAGTGTAGGGTTGTGTTTCTCAGGGTCATTTGCAATTGATATTGTATTTATAACATAATTAGATTATTATAATTATCAATATGGATATTTGATTTATTGTACATATTATATTGTGATTCAGATCTCACTGTTGTGTAGGGATGGTTGTCTGCTCCATTTCATTGACCTCTGATTTTTGCCTTTTGACAGTGGTCCGCTGTTTTGTTGTCGCAGACACGTCTTGTACATGGCTTGTGGTATACATGCTATGCCACGGCAGGCTTGCAACACAACCTTGGAAAGCATGGACTGTGTGGCGTCTAATACAATGCTCAATGAGGATTCTCCTCCACCGCATCTGCCAATGTGTTCACAAGATGTTCGAAGTGGTCACGAACATGTCGATAATGCTCCGGAATCTCCTGCTCGTAAGAGGTCACGAAATATTGCGTGTGCGGACACTACATGTGAAAGTGCGTATCCCGTCCTTCGATGCCCGGTTCGAACCTGTGATGAAGAGAGTGCTGAAGGTCAGGAGGGTAAGGCCTCCTCTACTGACAAAGATGCATCCGATGTAGATCGTGTTGTATGGGTGCCGAGGAGTTCACTTCAAGATTTCTAGTACACAGGTCTTCTGTTTGGTGAGGGTGATGAAGGTGGTTCAGATTCAAGTGCTTCGGTATCGTCTAGTGCTGATAGTTTTCGAGATAAAACCGATCTTCCGCAAACGTACGCTGACCGGAACAATCACTACTGTTGTCGAAATGGCGATGAGAATCATGACGTGATCTCTAATTTGGATGACATTTTTTCAAAACGTCTGTCCTCAGAGAAGCGTCCTTATACTTTTCGTCTCAGAATGCCGCGGTCAAAGAAGATTCTGCAATCAGTTCATAGAAAACTCACCAAAAAAGCACTAGCGAGTGTGCGTGGGCAGGTTTGCTGTAAGCGAGAGTGTTGCGCTCAAATGACCCTGGACGACATCAAAGTTGTCCGGAGTGCATACTACTCTAAGAACCAGCAGAGCTGGGATGCGTGGTGGGTTGAAACGTTGAAGAGGTTCACCTTCATAGAAGATGAAAAGGAGATTGTTCAACCTATTGTGGGGAGACGAAAGGTGTGCATTAGTATTTGGTGTTTCACATTGGGTGTATGTAGGAATACATTTCTCAAAAAAAGGATGACTTTGTCAAAAGGCTACAATATGCCGGAGCATGGCAGTACTGGACTTAGACGCACATCAGCAACATATGCGACGACTTACGGGAAACTAAGCTCCTTCGTGCGAGACAACGAAGATTCCATGCCCAATGACATGAAGATCAAAGAAGGGGAATCAAGAGTGGTGTTGAGATTGCCTGCTTGCTATAACAAGGTTGATATTTATTAGTTGCTAAAGTCGCAATTCGACAACATGGGTGCTCCTTGTGTTTCTCTCCAAGTTTTTTACAACATGTGGAGAACGCGGTTCTGGCATGTGAAATTCCATGACATTGATCAAAACTTTGCGAAATGCGAGAAATGTGTTGAATACAAAGAATCTATCAATTCCGCAAAGTTTGTGCGTGTGCGTGAGTACTTTGTTTCGTTACGCGAGAAACACTTGGACTTGCAGCTCCAACATCGTGCTGCGTATGAGGTGTGGAAGGATGAGTCGAAGAGGCCGGGTTCCAACAATTTGTGCATCATCATTGACGGCATGGACCAAAGCAAGACCAACATTCCACACTTTGGCGGAGAGAACAAATCGAAGGCATTCGCAAATATTCTGATGTTGAAAACGAATCTGACAGCTATTATTGCACACGGCCGCTCACCATCGGTCCATGTTCACACATGGTACCCTCGCTATCCACATGATTCTAATGCTGTAGTGTCATCCATTATGAAAGTTCTCCGCGACATCCAGGCGACGAGCGACTTGCCTCCTAAACAGAGGATACAAGCTGACAGCTGTTGGAGAGAAAACAAAAACAGATACGTTTTGGCACTCGCTGCAGCTTTGGTGAAATTTGGCTTCTTCAAAGAACTCGAATTCGGTTTTATGTTAGTGGGACACACACATACGGACGTTGATGCCACTTTCAGTCATTTCTCTCGCAAACTGAAAATGCACGATGCATATACCATGCTCGACCTCTTCAAGCTCGTTGTCAGTTCTCAAAAAGAACGTCCATCGTGCACATTCATGGATGAAATTGCTGATTGGCGAGCTGCTGTTAAGCCCTTCCTGGTCAAGAGACTGACCGGTCATACTCGTCCACATGCATTTAGGTTTTATATGCAGGATGACAATCCTGTGTTCCAGTGGAAAGAGTATTGCGCTTCTCTTGAATGGTCTGCTCCAGTCTAAAGATGAAAACAAAGCATATGTTGGACCCGAATGACCATTCGTGCCATCACCGGTTCCGTCGTCAGCTTCTCTGCCTACTAAAGATAGGAATTCGGATTTCGAATCGGGAATTGAAGGTGTGAAGACGTTTGTTGGGTGGTTGGAGAACAAGCGGCACGAGTGGTTGGGAATGAAAGATGAGGTTAACTTCTCAAAGGAGAGTGCTCTTTCACACTGGAAAACTTTCCTCGAGACAGTCGAGGAGCATTACGGGTCTGGGTTTGCAAAAACTTCACTCAAGGCTAGCTTCTGACCCTCATAAGACAAAATTAAGAAGGATGATCCAGATGATATCGATATTGCCTTTCTCTTGAAGAGCAATGAGAATAAGGAACCGTTGTTCGTTGGACCGACCAATGAGTGTCCAAAGGCGGAGCTCAACCTAATTGTGGATGTCGAAAAAGGTCAATTCGTTCTCTTGCGTCCTTCCCAAGATGATATCGATGAGGGAGTTCCTGTATGGATGGGTAGAGTCATTTCCGATGTAGACAACGATATGAAGTCGTTAACTTTCAATCATATTCTTATTGAATATTGGGTGCCACAACCTATTGCTAAACGTCTTTCTGTGCAATATTCGAATGCATGGAAGAAGACGTGGAAGAAAAACAACACAACATCACAGCAGTGCATCACAACAGTGCATCACAGCAGTGGAAGCATGTAGACTGTGTTGTGTGGAGCTGGACATCAAAGACATTGCATTTAGAAAATGGAGTGCACATTTCAAAATCGGCCAGAGAGAATGCCTTGGTATGCCTTTCACTTTCCGATAATGAAGATTCGTAGGTTTTCAATAGGTTTTGAAGAAGAGCTAATCGTATTTCTTTACACGTATTAGTACGTTATTTAGTTGTCATTAAGCTTTCATTTATATATATTTAAACTGTATTTTCATGTGTTGCAGAATGGTTCAACCATTTGTGACGACTGGATGGCCGCCAAGTAACATGGTGTGGGGAAGAAATATATGGCATGATATGGGTCCAGTTTTCTTCACATCTGAAGTGATCTTTGACAGTGCAGTACTCAGTGTTAGAGGTGTGGATGCCCCACCGGAAGACTGGGAACATTCTCCTCGAGAGTCACTGTATATTTGTAGTCGGAGGTGTTGTCGAACGAGAACATACCCGCGAGAAGTGCTCGCACCCTCTTCGGAATTATATTATTCAGCAGTCAAATTCTGCCACAACAATTTCAACGTGATGACCTTGTTTTGTGCAGCGGCAACTGTTCGAGGTCGGTGCAAAGTATTTTTCCTTATTTATAATGATTATTCTGCAAGTGCAAGTGTTTCCAATGCAGACAACATCGGTGAACGACGACGGCAAGAATTCCGAAGGAGGATCATGGAGCAAATTGGGCTTGTGGACACGGCCATCAAATATTTGCGAAGTCTCCAGCTGCGCGAATATGAAGTAATAGAAAGTTATATAGAGTACAAGGAACCGACGTTTGACGGACAAACTGATATCATCGTAGAGAAGATTGGACAACTGATACAAGGACAGACTGAAATGTTGTCTTGATTGCATTAGTTTATCCCTGTAGTCGATCTAGTTACTAGGCTTGTTTTGCCTATTTTCACGGTGTCATTTGTGCTTTGCATTTAATTTTTTTTTCCCTCTTACTCGGTCAATCGCCTTGAGACATCATACAAGTTCGAATTGCCCAGTCCTGTATTAATATAGAGTTATTTGGTTATCCGAGTTGAGCGGGATTCGAACTAAGGTTTGTGTTTTGACAGTTTATGGGTGACACTGCTTTCAAATTGCTTTTAATGTTGAACTTTTGCACGTGTTTTCATTTAATTGTGTTGTTGTAGTTAAGTAGGATTTTTGTACGTGTTTTTGGAGTGTCCGCTGCACTTTGCTATCAAATATTAACAGATTTTTAAATTTTCTTCTAAGGTCACATACAAGGTTTTTCTGTTCTTTCATCTAAGCCTTTAAGTTCAAGGAACATCAGATTCTGAACTAAGTGAAATATTGTCAAGTTCAACTCGACCCGACACTCACTAAGTCTAACGTTTTGCAATATGTGTCCATATTGTGTAAGTTTGGTATTATAATTAATATAATAAATTAAATATAACTTCTTGGATTTCACGATAGAATGGATGTATTCATGTTATGAAAGGTTGGGATAATATACAATAGTTAACTCATGAAACTTGTATTGATGCAGATATGCGACTTTCTTTAAAAATAGAATCATGGATAGTTGACCAATGAAACTTGTATTGATGCGGATATGCAATTTTCTTTTCAATACTTGATTATACAATATTTGTCAATAAGATGCTAAAATCCTCTGCTCTTGTTGTTAAATTTACTTTTGTTCTGGCAAATTTGTTAATTTCATTATGTTCACTTTTTACAAAACATTTCATTTTTAACGAAAACACCGTTTTGCCTAGGTTCACTCCATGGAAACATTCGGCTCTGGATTGGCCTGAGATCACAACTCATGACTAATAATAACCAACAGAGGGTGCAAGGGGGGATGGGCCGGAGATCTTCCCTGACAGGAATCGGCCCTGCGGCGAAGTGGTGCGGGTTATGGAATCGATAGTCTTGCCCTCTGAGCATAAACAATAACACAACCCCTAATACGGCAATAATAGTAGGCTATGCTAGGATCATGGCACCCAGGTTGGGTCAGAAAGGTTGTCTCAAGTAAGACCTTGGTCAGGGTACAACCAGTAGACACTACCTAGGGAAGGCTCTAAGGAATAAAACCAACATGGGTTGGCGCTCATAGGAAAAAAACAAAGAACGATCATGCTTGGTGACCGAAGTACCCGTGCGACAAGGCTCGCTCGATACTGCTTTAACTAGGGCAGGGAGAGGTTTGTCATGGCCTAGTGCTGGTGTCTGCAACCGCCGTCCAGTATATCCTGGATAGGGCCAAACAAGTGCCCCCGTAGATGAGGAAGCAGCGGTCACGCTAAGGAAGCAGAAAGATGAGTTAGGTAGGGGTGGGTCCTTTGAGCACCAAACAAAAAAAAAATAAAAAAAAATTAGGTCAGACAAGGTGAGGAGAGGGGAGGGTCTCTGATTGCAATTGCTTGACCGGTCCATAGAAGGGAGGGAACGGGGAGGTGCTTGTTTTTTGTGTAGGGGTTGGGGGATGAGAACAACTGAGGGGTGATTTGCCAAAGGGGGACCCATAAATATGACGGCGCTTTCATATTCTCAGTGCCTTTCACTTTGTCTCCAGTTCTTCATTAAACCACCAGTACTTGGCCCAGCTATGGGCCGCRGGCGTGTCCCGTTAACACGCCACATTTGAGGGGGGTCGTTCACATGAACAACCGATCGGTGAGAATTGCGATGTAGAAAARAAARAAAAAAAAAAAAAAAAAAAAAAAAAAAACTACTTTCTAAGGGCACGCTCACACTAGGTACCAAATCCTCATTTCCCCCCAAAAAAGGGTTCCCGGACAGTCACATATGATGAACATCTGCCCAAATTCTCAAAAGGGGTGACCATTTGTCAGCAGCCTGCGAAGCCGCGGGGGGAGGAAATTTGCGATGATCTCTGGAGGTTACCGCAAATTCTCAAATCATTTTCTGAATTACCGTGCAAAATTGGAGAAAAAATGGAACCCACGATATTAGCGGCCTATCAATTGATGAAAAGGAGATTTGGGGAAATGGGCGCGAGCGCGGAGCGGTCAGACGAGTGTGGCCTTTTTTTTTTTCAATCCCTTGTTGATCCAGTTGTCGTTAGCCTGCCATGCCGCTTTCGTCGTCATTTTTGCATTGAAGAATTAGGTGTTACGTTTCAGTGTCCGCCTCCAGCCCCTTGCGCGTGTGTTTTCACAGGGCTTGCGCCCGTGTTCCGCTGACTTCCCCGCTTCTCCACCCTCTTCCCCGCAATTCCACCAGCTGTATCTTGTTGTGTCCCCTTGTCCCGAACGAACGACGAACGATCGATTCCTTCCAATGTCTTCCAATTTTTTTCCCTGTCTACTTTCTTCTCCCGTCTGTATTCTTCTGACTTCTTTCCTCCCCCTGCTCTCTATTTCTATCTTCGTTGTCATGTTCTACTATCGTAACAATTTGATGCTATGCATGTTGGAGGAGTTTTGATCTTCATCGTTGTCGCTAAGCTTTAAGCCGACATACTTTATTTCGTGGAGTAGCCGACGTAGAGTGGTACTACGGTTGAGTAGCTTCGACTATTTTCAGCGATGGCGTCCAACGGAGCTAACATGCCTGGTATTCGAACATGTTATAACTGTGGACAGCCTGGTCACATTTCCAGATACTGTCCCCTTCCGGATCGTAGGTTAAATGGTGTGCATTCTACCAGCACCGTGATAGTTCCGACTCAACCTTTGTTGACTGTTCCGCCAGCTGGTGTCGGTACGACAGTTCCTTACTATCCGAATCAATACAACGGTGGTGGTAGTGACTCTGGCCTAGGTAGGAGAGTTTCAACCTTGGAGGAGATCGTCGACAAGATTAATAGCAAGCACGAAGCAGATGAAGCTAGGGAGCGTTCACAACGAGAAGAAGAAGAGCGAAAAAACAAGGAACGGGAGGATGAAGAACGAAGGGAGAAGGAGAGGAAGCAGCGAGAAGAATTTCAGTCACTAATGCATAAAAAAATGTCGACTAAATTGGATAAGGTATGTGATGCGGTCAACGGAAAGAAGCCGAACGAGAGTGACGAGATCACGAAGTTGAGGGCTCGGATTGAAGATCTTCAGCAAGGTCTGAAGGGCAAGCAGAAGGCTATCGAAGATGACGAAGTGACTAAACTTCGTGCTGAAGTTGAGCGACTAAAGCGTGGGCATGATGTTGCTAGCACCTCGGCTACGGTTATTAAGCCGCTCAGTGAAGCTGAAGAATTGGCGCGCCTGTGTCGAGAGCAGGCGGATACTCAAGCTGGCACCAACAAGAGGCTCGCGTCACTGGAGGATGTCATCCACGCTTTTCAGAAGCAGTGTGAACTTGCCGCGTCTAATGTTGAGGCTTGGAGAAGAGAAGCTTTGCGCCCGGGCAACAAGAGAGGTAGCGTAGCCATTGGACATACACCAACTACGGAAGCTAGAGTGAGACCGAGGGTTACTCCTGCTACCTTTCCTTGTTTGGTAAATCAGCTGATTAAAGGAATTGTTGAACGTCATCTGCAGGAGGTTGATTTGTTAAAGGAGATGCGCTTGAGAGAAGTCGATCCACGAAAAGAATCTGAAGAGGAGATTGACCGACTTAAGGAGGTCATGGCGCGTTTGGAGACAGGAAGAAAGACGAGGAGAACGAACTCGAAGACGAGAATGAATGATGCAGCGGGTCCGTCTGCAAGGAAAGATAAGGGAGTTACAACGGCTACTCCGGCAGCTCAAGTCCACGCATGGGACACTCACCTACGGAAGGAGAGAAGCAAACTCGAAAATTTCAAAAAGGACGAAGTGTTTGGGATTTGCGAAAAGAAGAAGTCGAGTACACAAGATTAGATCCAACAAAGGAGAAAATTGTGCAGAAGAGAATGACAACTTTTGACAAGGGTGTTCGATGAGGTGGAGAGAGGTAAGAACAAAGACGACTCGGTGGTCGAGTTAACCAATGTTGATGGAGGCGATGAATCCGAACCGAGCGACGGGCATGACTCGGCATCTTCTTAAGGTCACGCTCGAACGCGATGTTATTTTGACAAGTCGTAAAGTTATGTAGCAATCTAAGAGCTATTTCTTTTGAGTATCTACGATGTAAGGTGATGAATCTGCTATTCTCTCTGGCGGTTTGTGGACTGATTCTGTGTGGTGAGGTTTCTTGGGGTACGAAGCTGAGTGGTTTCTTTCTCGATTACTTCTTTGCATCTCGTAATGATGGTCTTAATGAGTGGGAGGGCCGGTTGTGTATGTTGTGGTGTCTCCATGGACTTGGCATATGTATATAGGCAGTACTCAACGTAATCTTCACTCCCGTTGGAGGGAGCATATCTACCGAACATGTCAACAAAAGGTGATCGAAAGGGGAAGGCGAAATGAGAAGTTATATCAGTGGTTACATTGTTGTTGGGCTCATACGTATATTGTTATTCCTCTGTGTCGATGCACTATGGATGATTTGTTGGAAACTGATAAATTCTTCATTAGACTGTTTTCACCTGCATTGAACGCAATAGATAAGCCAAAGAGGACAATGAGATGTCAAAAGGGTCTGAGAAAGAGAATTAGAAGGAAAGGGAGAGTTGTTGGCTGCAATATGGTGGGTTTGAGTGATTCTGGTACTTACGGTGGATCGGTCTGTGTGTTCCACTCTACAGAGGGTTTTTCGTCAGTAAGTTTGTGAGAAATTCTTGAGAAAAGTCGTATTAATGCTAACCATCATACTATTGTTACTTGTTCTGGGGATGAGCGATTAGTGGATCGATGGAAGATTCTTCGTAGATTGTTTCGAGGAAGTCTGGTTTCCTGTGAGTTCGAGAGGGAGAACTGCGTCATGCTCGTAGCTGGATTAAAATCGGTGTCACGCTTCCCTTTGGTCTTGTTGTTCCTTTTTTGAGCCGTTCGCTGGCTTTGAAAGCTCCGCTCTCTGGGTTTCTTAGCAATCCTTCTAGTCGCACCTCGATTTGAAGGGCTGGAACTTTGACTCGTTAATCGTAGCATATACGACAGTACGTACCTTCAATGAGAAGCGGTCCCGATTTCGTTTACGTTGTCAGCTTTCCCACCATATTTTGGTCAGATTCAACATCCATGTTCGTAAAAGGCTCGTCATACGAATTGTCTACGATGATCGTGTTTGCAACGCTAAGGTGAGGCAACTATGTCCAGAGGTTTTGGCGAATTTGACTTTGGAGCAAAGCTGGAAGGAGATGTTGGTTCGACATATGAGAGTGGTATGGCGTCGTAATTCTAGCATTGGCGATCTCATCCATAACTTTCGGAGATATTCCAAAATTGGGCAAGTTGTGTGTTCGTGCGCTTTTGTGGAGGCTTTTTTCCGACGTATAAAAGGACATGTGGCCTTTCGAATTAATGAGGTTGTTCCTTTGTTCCCAGATTTCATGCAAAATTCGAAGAATATAGTACGACCGTACAGAGGTTGTTCGATCTCGAGTGTGCGCTCTCAATTACTGGCTTCTTTTCAATCTCACCCTTCCTTACCTTTTGTCGATCCTGCTCTTCTGTAGGCAAGCAGTATTAAGGAATGTTTCTCTACTACTGTATCATCCGCTCCGTCCATATACGAATATGATGTTACCTCTTGTCGCTCTCGAGTGGATGGTCTTGTGTGCAGTCCGATAGATCATACTTTTTTTTTTTTTTTTTAATTTTGAAAGTCTCCTCCAATGTTAGTGGTGCTGGTAAGCGAAGACACCACTAACACCTGGGGAGAGGCTCCATCTATTGGTGGGGAGCATCACCTGCTGGAAACCGGGTCCAGCGTCCCTTATACAGACTGAGTTAATAGTACAACAGAGAAACAAAATAGGCGATTTTTGCCATCATTGATTGCCCTTGAGACCAGGGGATTGACTGAGCAGTTGAAACAACAAAAAAGAGGGGGGGGGAGGGAAGAGGAACCTCTCCGGCTTGAGCCCGGGGCCAGATACATACTACTACCTACAAGTTCCTCTCCCCCAAACCATCCTGTTCCCACCTTGCTCTATCCCTCTTCCCCACATTCTGCTCTTTTACCCATTAACCCCAATACCATTCCACGTCCACCAGCGCCAAAGGTGAAGGCGAGAAGAAGTCCACAAAATAAGACATCGGCCGAAGCGGGAGTGAGGGGTCAATCTTCGTCCAGTCTTAAAAGCATAGGTAGTAGTCTCTTTCCACTTCCCCATCTTCATCCTCTCCCCTCTCCCTTCCTTTCCACACAACCTTTGCGATCCAACCTCCTTGTTCCCCGCCCAACCAGTCTTTGCAGAAGTTTTCGATGATCTGTCTGATCTTTTTTTTAGATTGGAGAAAAACTATCCTTCGTTTTACTCTCTCCCATTGAGTACCAATATCTGGCTGATAGACAGGTCAACACTCGAACAGAGGGGGCTAGCCCTTCCTTGGCGCAGGCTCGGCACATACGCTTTCCCATCCAAGAAAATACCAGAAACAATAGAACACATCTTTCTGCAATGCCCTGGAGCGGTCTGGCTCTGGCGATGGTGGGATAGGGTCTGAGGTCAGCTCGAAACAGGAGCTCCCTGGCCATGGGATTGGAGAGCCCTGTTATTTGAGATATGGCCTTCAGAATGGCCTGACGACTTCACCCTCAACTTGTTTCAACTGGGTCATAGAGCAATACTATGGGCATTGTGGAGACGCCGCTGCGCTTATGAGATGGAAGGTGTGAGGTTGGAAGGACCGGAATTTACAGAAAACATACAGCAACAAATGCACACAAACTACAACACAATGGGAAGAAGTCCAAGCACAAATATGCCACTTGCACACACAAAGGGAGATGAAGCAAAAAATACAAGAATTTAGCAAAAGTTGGCTTGGGGGGGAATCGGGGGGGAAGATAGGAAGGGTGGAATGGAATGGGGAAAGAAAAGAGCAAAGGAGGGGGCAGGGCACCAAGTACCGACTCATTCTCCACGACTGGACCAAGCTGGACGGCTCAATTCCAATGCGGCATAGTGATGAATTCCCGGACTCCCCCCCCCCCCCCAACAAATTGCCTAGTAGGACTAGACTGGTATGGGGGAGAATGATAGGAGGGAACAGGGACATAATGTATGAAGTTCAGAGGGCAGGTCGACAAAGTACAGCTCACTGTTTTTTGGTACTTATGTCAGCTGCAGTTTACTGTTTTTGTTTGGTACTTATGTCAGCTTCAATTCACTGTTTGGGGAGGCAGAAACTAGTTTGCAGCGGACGGTATCTGGCGCTTGGTTCACGGCGAAGAGGTTCTCTCCCCTATCCCCAGATCCTGCTCGGTCAATCCTCTGGATGTCCAGGGTAATCAATGCTGGCAGGAATCTCTTACTCCCTTAAAGTTTTCCTGATGTATTCTAAGTTCATGCTATATAAGGGACGTTAGACACGTTTTCCAGCCAAAAAAAAAAAAAAAAAGTTTAGCAACTACTTTTGTTTTTGCCAGCCTTTTGTTCTCGAATTTCGTTTTTTACTTTTTGTCTTTCAAATTATCTCAAGCTCTATGGCCTCCAAAAGGTGTTCATCATTTTTTTTTTTCTTTTTTTCAACCACCAGTACCTCCCCGTTGTTTTTTCGAAGCCGCGGCCGTTAATGCGCCGCGACTTTCGGGGGTCGGGCAAGCCAACGCCCAGTCGCTTCAAAAAACAAACAAACAAACAAACAAACAAACAAGCAAAACAAAACAAGACAAGACAACAAACTTCGGAAGTCTCGTGCGCGCGCACGCGCGCGCGCGCGCGAGAGAGAGAGAGAGAAAGAGAGAGAGAGAGAGAAAGGAGAGAGAGAGCGTCGAAAAAGGCGCGTTTGCTGCGCCACTGCGCAGCGAACGGCGTCACTCTCTGTGCAGCAAACACGTCGTTTTCATCTCTCTCTCTCTCTCTCTCTCTCTCTCTCTCTCTCTCTCTCTCTCTCTCACGGCGTGATGCAGTCTCTTTTTCTCAGTTTCGTTTTCCTTCTTTCTTTTTTTCTTTTTTTTTTAATAGTTTTCTTTGCTTCTCGTTTGTTTTTCTTTAGATTTTGTTCACATTTATTGTAAACCAATTTTGATGTCCTCGAAGTACCGGTACTTCGAGGCTCGTCACCGTAGCTGTAGGCTAGGCCTACCGGTAGCTTTAGGGTCGGGCCTTGACAACCAGCAGGTACTGGTGGTTAAAAATCCTAATTCTTTTAAGCCCCACGAATTCAATTACCTGTCACATCTGGACAGGACCCCTGATACTTTCTTTTGCTTTTTGCAAAGCACTTCTGATATTTGTGCGTATTTGATCTTTGTCGCGTTGTCGCGCCCCCACCATTTCAGGGTCTGGTTCAATGTCTTCCCCCCTGGTCGAGTGCGGTGGGTTGGTGGACTGGCACGCTGTCACGCAAGATTTTGGAGAGTTGTAGGAAAAATTAGAAATACATTCACGAGCAGCCTTTGTCACACAGTCGAGTAGTTAGAATTATCCTTCCTGCCAGCTGCGACACGGCTTAGAGTGAGGCGTTCGGTTTTATCGCCTGCACCTGACCCCGTATAAAGGTTAGACTCAAGGTCATCGGAGTCCCTATCATCCAGGAGTCCTTCAAGTAGCCTTGAGTGCAACCTGTTATGATAAGGAGTGATAGATAACTTGTTACCTCATGCATAAGTGTTTCATGCATCACAGGGCATACATCATAAAACAGATGACACTGAGAGGACGAGAATACCAGAAACCAGACTCTGCAAGAACATGACTAGAGACACGAGACTGAAGAGTAGTACACAAAGAATGGAGGAAGCAGCCATAAAGAAGGGGCTGCAGTCACTGGTAAATCATAATAATGTCATAGTACATCTCAGTGACTAAAAGATACGAGCCTCAATCATTAATGACAAGCGGTACCCC